AGATAAAACTAAAATTAAAACTTAGAGAAGTAGAAAGATGGAAGAAAAATGAAAAGTATGTACTAGGCAAATATTAAAAGAAAGCATGTATTAGCATCCAACAAAAATTTTTAAGACAGAAAATTATTAGAGATACAGAGGGTCACTATATACAAAGCCAAACTCAGAAACTTATAAAACTATCTTATAAACTTTATACACATTTGATAAAATGTTCACAAAATGTGATTTTATGCTCAGAGAAAACTGACAAATCCATCATATTTTTCTCAATTATTGGGAGATCAAGCAAAACAATAGAAAACCATAGAAAAATTTAACAAAACAATCAAGTAAATTTAATGGACCCATAGAATCAAAAATTAGAAAATATACAAACAACTCTACATTCTACACTTCCAAAACACTTAAAAAATTTAGACCTCGGGGCTGGGGATTTAGCTCAACGGCATAAGCGCCTGCCTTGCAAGCAGGCAGTCGTGAGTTAGATCCCTGGTACCAATAAAAAGGAAAAAGACCAAGAAAAAAAAATTTAGACCTCATACTAAGCCATAAGTTAGCTCTTTATGCATTAAAGAATGGGTTCATGAATAATTTATAATTTGATCTTTCTATAATTAAGTTGAAATTAATAACAATAATACAAGTTTAAAAACCTAGATATTTGAACACTTTAAATTATACTTTTGAATAATGTTTCACACAAAAATCACATTTAACTTGATAAATGAAAATTTAGAACACTGAATACAAGATGATAATGAGTATTGTAAAAGTCAATATTCATGGAATATTACCAAAGCAATATTTTTAATATACACACTGTGTTTTAAAAGCTTACATTAGTAAGAAAGCCATAAACTTGAGGCACTAAATACTCAATTTAATAAGTTAGAAAAAGTTAAGTCCAGTGGAAAAAAGGCCTAAAGGATGAATGAGCAAAAATAAATAAGTACATATGTGAAAAAGAAACAGAAGTTCTTATGGCTCTTTAAAGAGGTAAATAAAATAGGCAAGCAGTTTTGCTGAGATTGGTCAAAATATACATATATGAAGAAAAAGAGAAGGCACACACACACACAAACACTGGCCATCATGGCCTTCCTTACTGTAGCCCTCTCTGCTTTCTCCAGGGTATTTTTCAATATTATTTTTTCCTCTTTAATTCCACCAAAGTTAACTCTGAAGAGCCAATTTCTCCCTTATTCTTCAGTTTTACTTTTTCAAATAAACTTTGCCACTGCTTTAAAATTGTAAGAATGAAAAACCATGAATACAGAAAGAACAGATACATTTACCAATAATGATATGGACAGTATTATAAAATGAACATGAAGAGAAGAGAAACTACACCTTCCCATGAAGCAGGCTCTGCTATGCTGATTGGTAAGAGCCTCAACTAGAAGAAAAACCAAGCCTTCCCATGAGCTCAACTAGCACATGGGCTGAAAACTCAGAAGAACATCTCAAGGACTCAGGCAGTTCTTGAGTCTAGTAAAGATGGCAGATAGAGAACAGTAGACTACAGAGGCTCCCTGAGATAGTCAATTTAGAATTCAACATAATACAGCATGGGGAGTCCTGAACAGAGGGAGATGAATCCTCTCGACCCAAAGTGTGAAGAACCAATCAAACATATTAATGCTGGCTCTACGATTGGAATAGCTAAAGGCTTGGGGCTCCTGCTGCAGCACCTGAGCTCACACAGTGGTAACTTACTGAGCCATCTGAAATCCTGCCACTTCAATTCACTGGAAATACACTTGCACTGAGGATGGGAGTCAGCAAACTGAACAGAGAACTGAGCTGGCAGAGAACCTGCATCAACCTGCAATGAGTGACAGGAATAAAACCTTTCCATAGGAAAAAGGGGGCTCCAACAGACAACATTCTGGGACCAGGCAGACTGGTGAGAACAAGGAGCTGCAGTGACTTCAGTCATCTTCCCTTCTCAAGTGGGATTGGTGGGGAGTGCTTGACCTGGGTCATGCACCTGACTGAGACCCAATAGGCTAGCCCAAACCAAGTCCTGACTGCTGGCAGTGCACCCTAATGCAGTGAAGCCCTCAGCAGGTTGAGGGCTCAGTATAGGCTGTCCTGGTCAGTACCTCCATAGTATACTGCAGTGGGTGGGAGCACCTAGTCAATGCATTTCAGACAAACTGTAACTAAGAAACAAAGAAACTGGGTCCTCCTATATATGCCTATATGGAAGAAACAGAAAATGTGAGAAGACAAAGACCTGGAGAACATTGATCCAGGAAAGGTAAATGCAAAGGAGATTGAGGACGGCAAACATGCAATATCAGATATGGCACCAGTGGACATAAAGTGGTATCTTCAGGACCTCACTGATGAGTTCAATAGTGAAGTATTTAACCAAGTAAAGCAAGATATAAATAGAATAATGAAATGCTAAGCACCTCTCAAGAGAAAATAGATGGAAGAATGAAGGAACACAACAAAAGGGGAGAATTGTTTGATGAAGAAAAATAGAGAAAGCATCGAATACATGAAGCAGGTTCAAAGAGATTACCAAGAAATTTAAAACTCCATTGAAATCTGGCAAAACTGCTTGAAAGGAACTAAGGATAGGTTATCTTAACTGGAGGACAGATTTGCAATTTGGGATCATGAAAGGAAAAATTTCTTAAAAATAACAAGGAAACAAGCAGTAACAATACAAAGGCTAGAAGATGATAAGCGGATCTATAACTTAAGAATAAAGAACATGAATGAAGAAGCAGGGGTACAAACAAAGGAACTACAAAGGCTATTCACAGAAATAATCAAGGAAAACTTCCCAAGCATAGGAAAAGAAAAAGATATTCAGAATGTATGAGGCATATCCAGTCACTTACAACCAAAACAGGACTACACCCAGGCATATAATAATCAAGATCCCAGAAATTCAATATAAAAACAGAATATTAAAAGCTGTCAAAGACAAGAAACAGATTACATATAAGGGAAATCCCATCGGAATTATGGCAGACTTCTCCACACAAACCATCAAATCGAGAAGAGTGTGGAATGAAGTATTCCAAGCCCTGAAAGAAAATAACATCCAGCACAGATTGATGTACCCTGACAAATTGTCCCTAGAAATTAATGGAGAAGCAAGATGCTTCCAAGATAAAGAGGAACTGGGGGAATTCGCAGCCACCAATCCAACTCTACAGAGAATACTGCAGGACATTCTAAAGAGAGAGAAAAGCACCAGGATTCCAGGAACTGTGGTTGAGAGGCCCCAAAGAATGGTGCAAAAAGCAAAATGAAGAAGACAAGCAAATAACTAATGATAGAAAAAGAGCACAACATAAATGAGCCAGAGAAGGTTGGATATAATTTCTAATATAGATGGCTTAGATTCACTAAATTAAGGGAAAAAAGAGAAAATTGCAGGCAGAGTAGATCAAGAGGTACGATCCACTGAGATGCTCTTAATAGGAGATATAATTAACCTGAAGAAGGGTATATGGGCCAAAAATCAAATATGAGAAAACAGAACTCTATGTGATAGGGAACCAGAGAGTAATAGGGGAAACCAGACCAGTATTTATGGATAGGTTGGAAAGGCAGGCTTCAATAGCTAAAGAAATACAACCACAGATCAAGTCCAGGAGTGAGAAAGTTTGGAAACACTTAGATAAATAGCAGGTTGCCCACCCAATATAAAACTGAGGGTGTTGGGGAGACCCAAAAATGCACAGTGCAACCTGGAGGAGTGAAATAGGAAGAATCGTCTTTTAAAAAAGACAGCAGAAGATATTGATAATAGTGTATCAGAAATTAAAGCCCATATTACTCACACCACTCTGCTTAGATAGAACTTGTTCCATCCCAGTTTGTATACAAACACTAGATCTGAGGGCACAGACAGCTATCCCAAAAATATCAGGATACAGCACATCAACCATCTTTAATTTCCAGTTAACTTAATCTGGATCCCTGTATAACTTATACAGTTACATCATGACTGATCTTACTTAAATCTGGTTTGCTTGATTGCTGCTTGTTATTGACAGATTTTATTCAAAATTGTTAAGGTTGATAGTATCAAGTCAGAGAGTATAGACAACTAAACTGAAAATGACAGTGATTCACTACAGCACCCATTCTGGTTTGATTACTACCTGGTTTTGTAGTTCTACACTACCTACAAAATTGTATTTCTATTAATACTGTTATGTGCTGATATATGCAATTATAGTTTATCTGATGATATAGCCAATTCTATTGATAACAACAAGAGACAACTCAGTAACCATGACAGAACTCCTTGTAGAGCAGTCTTATATGTCTTTTTAGTTTTATGTGTCTATAGGAATATGTTTTGTTCATCCTGCTTTGTTCTGCTCCTCCCTCTAATATAGAAAGGATAGAAATACATGTTAAGGGTCATACTTGCATAAAACCTATAAACAGTTTACGAGAACTGATCTTATGACACATGATGAAATGAACAAATACTTTGAAGGAAAAAAAGGCACTACAGGACCCAAAGCTAATTCTGCAGTGTCATGATGTGAAATCCAGCAATACTATTATTCTTTCTTCAGAGTGATTTTAGTCTGCTTTGGTTTGTTTAATCTCAACATTAATGTAGATATGGATAAATGTGTGGATGTTTAAGTGTATAGGATTGATAACCATATTACTAAGATTTTATTAGATAGTTGAACAGAACTATTTGCAGCCTCCCTGTTTGAATTCACATCTATATGTTTCACTTTTGTATCTTGAACAATTGTTAGTAAGAGGACAATATGTAGACATCAACTAGTGATTTATTACTGTTTATTTTTTCTTTGAAAGTATGTACTATTTCTACCCATCTTCTGTTTTGTTTTGTCTTTCTTTAAATAAAATATAAAAAAAAAGAACATGAAAATCTAGATGAATTTATCAATTTCTAGATAATGATAACATCAAAATTTACTCAAGGAGGAATAGAAAGCTTTGATAATTCTATCATATTTTAAAAGCATAAATCTCACCTTGTTTTCCTTCTGTGGAGATCCAGATGATTTCACAGGTTAGTTTTAATAAACTTTTAAATACTTGTTTATCAAATATTATACAAACACACCCAGACAACATGTAAAAGGGAAGACTCTCCAATGTTGTGTTTTGTTTGTTTGTTTGTTTGTTTGAGGTCCAGTGGAGCCCTCTCTCCTGATGGGAGAAAAAGAACTGCTCAACTACTGTAGCACATTTATTTATATACCCAGGAGGATGATATCAACTTCAACCCCTCTGACTAGCAACCTGTTTGCCCGGCTGTCCTGGGTACCTTGCCTTCTTGGAGCTGGAAAAGCTTGTTAATTTTGCTTATTTTGGCCTCTCTGTGTTCTCCAGGCTGGCCTTGATTTAGTCCCCCATGGGTGATTGATCTCCGGCTTCAGCCACTCCATACATCTCTTTTTCTGTTTTGTAGGTGCAAGTCATGAGGGGTCAGTTGAAGGTGCAGGAGCTGTTTGGAGAACTCTGTAGAAGGCCTTTTCACTCTTAAACACTTTTCATTTTAAATGAATTTACTTGTTTATGCTAAATTTTTTCAGTTCAAGGATTTTAAGTTCTTGCATTCAAACTGTAATTCAAACTGTACAGTCTGTTAATCCATAATCATAGTCAGTTACCAGTGTAACTAGAAATTGTCAGAATGTGTTAGTGATTTGAATTTCTTTTATAACTAATAAACGCTACAGTATTGTTTTACACATTTTGTGGTTATATGTTTCTATTGAATGGCCAAGACCAAGTTAAAGTGAGACCTGTATTAATTATAATTAATCTCTTGTATCTATCAAAGTCAGGTAAGTCTTCTCAGGAATTGCCTTTAAACTATGCACAGTATCTCTTAATACTTTTGTCAGTGTCACCCATCTGGATGAGTCACAGCCATTGCTTGGCAAAGTTGCTTTCTATGAAAGCATAGACTTTTTTTGTCTCTTGGTGACTCTCCTTAGGCACACTACATATTGTTGATCACTTTTCTCTTCTTGGTCAAAAGACCAGGAATTCACTGAGTTATAGGACATCACAGCATCCCATAACTTGGAGAGCTTGGGCCAAAATATTGGCTGTCCTTTTAGCCTATCTGTCTTTCTAATTTTTTGGTCTCCAACTCTTCATTGATGTACATCAGAAGAAAAGATGGATAACAATCTTTAGAGTGTAGTACAGTCAGTGAGCTGAACATTATTATCTTATCTAAATAGCAAGCACCTTAGAAGATAAGATGGAACTGTTATTTTCTACTATTCATGGATAGTTTAACATTTGAATACGTAGGTCCATGTTCAGGTGCCCTGTGTGGTATACCAGTACAGCTCTAGATGTTCCTGGTAGGGAGGATGGGACAATAAAGAAAAGAGACAAAAGCTGAGGTCAGGTGGAGCCCTATCTCCTCATGAGATAAAAGGAATTGCTCAACCACTTTAGCATGTTTATTTATCTTGAGTGTGTTTTAAGAGACACCTTTATGACTAAAGCCAGACAAGGTCTGTATAAATGAGAGTGTTAAGACCATCCTGCTCATGAACATGGATGCAAAGCTCCTAAATAAAGTAAACCAATGCAAAGATAGCATTGGAATAAAAGAGAAAACACACCAAAGTTTATCTCACTAGTGCAAGGATGGTTTATACATATATACATATATACATATACATATACATATACATATACATATACATATACATATACATATACATATACATATATCTTCTGCATCTCAGAAGATAAAGACAAATCCCTCAATAGGAATTTTTAAAATTGCAGTAAATTAAGTAGTAAATGGAACTTCCTCACAAGGTAATAAACATTCTTCACCAAAATTATTACCAAGGCCATTTCAATAGTAAAATGCTAGAGTCATTAATTTTAAATTCAGAAATAAAACTAGAATACATAATCATTTCTGTGATAATAAAATTATATCTTGATAAGAAAATAAAGACATAAAACTGCCATTACTTCCAAATGATATCATTCACCCTACAGTAAAAGCCTCAGCAAATCTATAGAAAATTCATTAAAATTAAGAGCCATTTTTAAGATTACTAGATTTAAGATCAATATAAAAATCACATTTATATATGTTAACAATAAACACATCATATAATATAACAAAAATAAGCTAGCTACTACAACCTCAATGAAGTATCAGAAAGATATCTGAGATGTGCAAAACTGTATGAAGAAATATTTTAAATGATTAAAAGACACAAAGACCTATACAAATAGAGAGGTATCATAATTTTGGTTCATAAGGCTATTCAATAAAGAAATCAATTGCTTCACATTTCCAATAGATTTCTAAGGAACATAGTGTTTTCATTCAACTTGAATGGAAGACAAACACTACAGAATAACACACTAACCAAAAAAAAAAAAAAAAAAGGAAAACAAAGCAGATAAACTTATCCTAACATGTATCTACATTTTATTTTTTAGAGACAGGATCTTACTCTGCAATTCAGACTGGACATTTTTATGTAGCTCAGGCTGGCCTCAAACTCACAGCAATCCTCCTATCTCAGCCTTCCGAGTGCTGGGATTACAAGCATGTCACCATGCCTGCCTCCTACCTACATTGTAAAGTCAAGATAAGTAAAACAGTATGGGATTGGCTCATTGCAAGACAAACTATCCATGGAATAGGACTGAGAACCAGAAAACAGTTCCACATGTTTTTGTGGGGCTTTTTGAAAGCTAAGATATGATAGACGTGGCAGTGCAGATTACCACAATAAATGCTATTGGAACAATGTATTATCTATATGAGAAAAAATGAAATTGAATTCCAACCTTACATCGTACACAAAAATCAATTCCAGATGATTTAATACTTAATTATGAGAAGCAAAACACTCAAACTTCATTAAAAAAATTGGAGAATACCTTTATGACTTTGGAGTAGAGAATTTTTTAAAAACAAGAAATATTAATAAATATAAAATGCTGATATATTCAGCAACATTGAGATAAAGGATTTTTATACATCAAAATATTTCAAAAAGAAATGAACCATATTCTAAACTGTTTTTTAATAGGCATGGACAACAAAAGATTATTAGTTTTCGTATTTTAAAAATTGCAAGTTGGCAAAAGAAAGATAAATTGAAAGAAAAATATGTCAAGAATGAGTATAGAAAGTAGAAAAAGATAAATTCACGTATCAAATATGGTCAACATAATTTATAATCAAGAAAATGTAAACTAAAAGAAAGTGAGATAAATTTTGACTGAATGATATTATCAAAAATATCAGTACATTTGAAAATATTAATCATCAAATAAGTAACCAAATACTATATATATTTAAGAGTATAAATTGACATTACTTTGGAAAACAAGTTGATATTACCTTATAAGGTGGAGAACATGATAAACATGTTTTCTAGGCCAACAATTTTAGGGGTGCACATAAATGAACCATAGAGAAACTCTAACTGAATCAGCATGGTACTGGGTGTGGAAAGCCCATCTAAGGATTGCTGCCAAAACCATGAAAAAGAGCCCTGGAGGGGACGATTATATGCTGATTCTCCTGGAGAAGCTTACCACACTGGTTTTCCTGATATGAACTCAGTTGTGCTCATCCTCAGAGGAGCTCAGTTGGTAGCTGTTACTGAGGATGGCTGCTATTCTCTTTGGGGGAGCACTGGTCCTTACCTTGAACATTGCTTCCTGGCTCCAGGACAGATCTCTCAGCCTGCTGGCACAGAACCTTCATGCCACTGGCGTAGACTTTCTAGCTTCACCATTGACCTTTGGGCCTTCCCAGTGCAGATCCTTGACACAGACTTGCCTGAGACATTGTCATGGGCTCCAGGCCTCCAGACTCATGTAGGATATTGCCATGGAATCTAGGCCCTCAGTGAGATTCATCAGGTCTCAGGTGTGTGAACAGATCTAACTCATTTGCATTTTACTCTTTGGGTGAATATTATAAAATAATCCTGTAGGTTACACATCCTTTATTTCCTTGCAAACCCTGATTACAACACTCTTATACACATACACTGGGAAAGCTGGGGCAAGTAAATTCTTAACGATGTTATTCATAAAAGCAAAAAAAAAAAAAAAGAAAGAAAGAAACTGTAATCAACCCAAGTATTCACTGTCAGCATGTGGGAAAATAAATATATTCTGTTTGCATATGATGAAATATTATATAGCTAGGATTATGAATAAATTATAGCAAAACATAGCAAACAAGTTACAGAAGTTTCCATTCATTATAGTATCATTTTCTTTTTCTTTTTCTTTTTTTTTTGTCTTTTTCATTTTTATCGGTACCAGGGAATAAACTCACGACCGCCTGCTTGCAAGGCAGGTGCTTATGCCGCTGAGCTAAATCCCCAGCCCCTATGGTATCATTTTCAAAGCTCAATACTAACAAATGTATTTCCTTTCATTTGCATGTGTCCCCCAAAATTTCATATGTTGGAAATTTAATTAACAAATTCACATCTTGATGGTATTTGGAAGTGGAAAGTAATTAAAGTTAGATGAGTTAATTAAAGTGATTTATGAAATTAGTGGCTTATAAAAAGGAGACGTAGGTTGTTCTACTCCCTTGTCATCACACAACAGAAAAGCCCTCATCAAATGTTGACAACTCACAATTAGACTGCTCAGTCACAAGAACTAGGAGAAATAATTTTTTTCTTTATAAATTATCAAGCTTATGGTATGCTATTGTGGCAACAGAAAATGGACAGAGATGATATTTCTTAGAGACATATACACATTTTTTTCCAAATCCATTTTATTCAAGCATAAAAAGAAAAAAAAAGAGGAAAAAACCAAACTACAATAAAATTTCAAAATACATCAATCAACGGGCAACAATGGTACATACATTGTGCATTGTCATCCCCAAAGCATTCACCCAGAGCACAAGAATATATCTGTATTCAATTGTCTGAATACCAACACAAATCTTTCTCTTCAGTGAACTTAGAGAAATCAGTAGTATAACTATCTGAACTATTTTTAGATACATATACATGCATACATACATATGTTTTTTTCTTTCAGTTTCTGACACTAATGAAACAATACTATATTTACATAAGCGTCTTTTTCATTTCACTAATGAGTATGCTCTCAAGTTGCATCCAATTACCTATTAAAGTCTCCAGTTTATCCTTCCTTATGGCAGA